AATTTTTAAATAAAGTAATAAATTGTTAATTTTTTATTTGAAAATATTTAATTTTATATTTTTTTTAAAAATTAAATAATAATGTTAATGTCGAAATAATTTTTTAATTTTTTAATTAATTTTTTTAATTAAAAAATATAAATTTAATATCTTTAAATAAAAAATAAAAATTTATCACTTTAGTCATCGGCGATGTCGCCTGAGCAAAGCCAGAGACGAGTGCGCGGGTGTAATTTTTGCGGCGGCTGAGACGTGAGAGTGTCGACTTGCAGCTTTGCACCGTTTAAAGGTATACATAGCCAATCCCATTTCTGCATTCTTGATCAGTTCTTTTACTGCTTTTCTTTGGCTGCTTGTTCAGTATAAGCCTCCATTTCTGTGAATTTCTTTGGTCAATTTTCCGTATCTATTTTTTCCCTTGATTAATATGCGAAATGGGATTTCTTAGAGAACCTATGTTAGCTGAGTAGCTAATTTTTTTATTTTTTTGCTAGTTGTGTTTCTGGGTGGAGGATTTGACTTTTTTCATGGATTTTGAAATGAAAAAAGGCAAATGATGTAATAGGAAATTATTTGCAGGTCTCTTTTTTTTTTTTTTTTGAGCAAAGGGAAATGTGGGGATGGGGAAAGATACAGAAAAAGCAAAGAAAAATTAAGAGGGTTCTATTCATTTTAGGTGGAGCACCTTAACATCCACGAAGGACTGTTTAACGTCCTCCGTGAAGATGTAGCAGTTTAAAGACCTTCTTCTCAGGTCCATTTGTAGGCATTATTTTTGAGCAATGCATTAGCAAAATGGAATTTCACGTACTAAAGTAAAAGCTAATCAAAATCATCATAGCAAACAGAAACTATATTCTTTCTCAAATCCCCTGCCTCTAGCTACCCAAGAAAATGAATTATGTCTCCATTACAAGGGATGCCTATGGTTTTTGTTATCATCTTCCAACATTAAAGCTTTCTGCTGTAATTCCTGGCCAAGTCCATTAACTTTGTTTAGGTGAATGATTGTAGAACATTTTAATTTTATAAGAGAAGAATGTAGAATAACACTCAGCTGCACTGCTCAGAACTCAAGAGTTAGATGATAAAGGCGAGAAGGAGAGAGATATGAGTTAGAAAGATTAGTATTTGTAAGAGGAGGGAGATAGAATATGGTTGTCATCAGAGTCATTGGGTGGAGAACTTAACCAGAGACTTGAAAAGTAAGGAAAATTGGATTGTTGGTTGGTGATGTTGTAGTTTGGTTGTTTCTTTTGTAAGTGAGTGACATTTAAAGTATTTTGTCACGTTGAATTGATAGGGGAGTAGTGGCATGATACCTTGTTAGAAGTTTTCTAAACCCTTATTTTTACCTAAAAAATGTCTGATATAAATGATGAGAAATTTGACAAATGAGCCTTTTTTTTTTGTTCTCTTTTTCTGACCAAACAAGGGATTTAGATTTTGGCATTTTAAAATCCTTTCCATGAATGAATTTCCTCCTACAAATACTCCGTGCAAGCACACAGCATGATTATTTTTAAGTTTGTTATTGATGAAAAATAGATGCTCGGCTTGTCAATAATTGCTTTAGTATTGCCAATGATAGGTGTTTTATTATCATTTTGGTAAGAAATTTGCCAGTTAGACTTAGGTTTATTACTCAATTTGCTTACAAATCTTGAGTGCTGAGCATTTATTAGCAATTCCATTGTGGGAAAGTAGGTTCTAGACAGCTGATAAAAAGGTATATAGGGGTTTCTAGTTTTTTCCATGGGCATTAGGACATTGCCCTCCCTTTGGTGTGTCCTCTCTTGAGTTGTGTAGCAAATGAATATCATGAAATACTGGAGGATTTGGTGTTCACAGTCATGCCTGAAAGATTCAGTATACTGATGATGCCAAGAAATAGACCAATATATGTCCATGTTTGGAAATTTACAAAGGAAAGCATGTTTACTTTTATCACTATAAAAGGAAGTACGTTTTGTGGTGACTATTCTATGTCCTTGAACTTACTGAAGTTTACTTCTGACCCAGTATACGCCCAATCTTTTCTATCTGTGAACCGTATACTGTAAAAGATATTCTGGATCTAGAGAAGGATGGTCCTTTCTTTTTTTTTCTTTTTCTTTGCTTACTCATGAGATACGGTTAATATAAATAGAGAAGACAAAATCTGCTCTCTTTTCTCTAGGAAAAGTTAAAAATAGATTTTCTTTACTATTCTATATTGAAATTTTATCCTCCAGCAGTTCTATGGGATCTTTGTTCTTTTCTTGAATGGCCTTCTGTGGGATCTTTTTACTGATCACATATCTTGTGTTTTTCCATTTGAAGTGTCAGGACAGACATTCAGCTATGGCTATGGCATTGGCAGCACAAGTCTGTGAATGGATAAAATTCCCTCCTGCCACACAATCAAAATTGCTTGAACTCATAGGAAAGCTTAACCAAGAGGTCCCACTTGTTGACCTAATTCTCATTATACATGAGTCTGTATGGTTAGCTAAAACTTAAATGCACAATGTTGTGGCTATCAGCCATGCATGGCATTATCTTTTTTCTTGGTACATGTGTTTCAATTTAAAGTGTGCAATTTCTAAAGTATTGAGATATATTGATACAGAATGTCAGCAAGTTGACAATACTAGTGATGGGGAAAGGTGGTGTTGGGAAATCATCAACTGTAAACTCAATTATAAGGGAAAAAGTAGTGGCTGTGAGTACTTTTCAGGTATTAGTGGCTTCACTTTGTCCTGGTTAAGCCTGCATTTATGTGGTGAAATATTTTGTATATGACTTGTATTGTGCTGTTCTACTTGTCAGAAGGTCCAAGACCTGTGATGGCGTCATGCACAAGGTCAGGATTTACATCGAATGTCATTGACACACCTGGGTTGGTAGAAGGAGGTTATATCAATAACCATGCACTTGAGATTATAAAATGTTATGTAGCAGCTAGAGGTGTAGAAGCTTCAAGCACTTGCAGATTTTTATTTTTATTTTTATTTCTTTCTGGCACTTGTTCGAGAAGTTAGCTTCAATCCACTTTCAATTCTCATTTTTCTTTGGGGGATGGATTTTAACTGCATGAGCAGTTTCCTTATAAACAAGACCATAGATGTTCTATTGTACATCGACCGTCTGGATGCATATTGAGTCAATAATTTGGATAGGCTGGTTGTCAAAGCTATTACGGATAGCTTCGGTAAGGAAATATGGAATAGAGCTTTATTTGTCCACAGCCATGCTCAGCTCTTCCCACCAGATGGATTGAACTGTGATATTTTCTTCTCCAAAAGATCAGAAGCTGTTTTAGAAGTTATTACTCAGGGTGCCCAGCTGAAGAAAGGTGATCTGCAGGTGTGTGGCTTATCTTTCTTACTTTTGATTGCTAGGTATATGATTTTTATAGTTGGTAAGGATGCTAGCTGTAAACTAGGTTAGTTTCCAATTCTTCCTCAAAATATGTGATGCCATGCAGATGTTGCCATTCCCATTGATAAATTACTCGATGCTGTACCATGAGCTTTAAATGTTGCAGAGAAATTATTTTACTCTCAGCCTAGGACATTAGGAAAAGGTAGAGCTAAGCCCATGTTACTCAAACTCACGAGTGAGCAAAATTCTACTGAACCAAATTAACAGATCAAACTGAGGAGCATTTGATTTGGTTGGTATGCAAATGTTAAAATGATGTTACTTAATACTAACCGTTCTTTTTGTCAAAAGAAAAAGAAGAATAAAAGGTTTATTTATTTTTTCCTTTTAAAAGATTGAAAACCATCTATAATAACTATCGGTGGTTCTGGTTTGGCTATGTATGGAAAGTATTTTGGTCAGTTTGAAAATTCCTGAAAATTAATTCAGTTAATACTGTGGTTTTAGCTATTCAGTCAAGTCTAGAACTTAAACCATACCAAAGGCTCACCATTATAGGTATGAGTATGGCTGTTGTTAGGGATATTCTTCTTAGAGTCTTCTTATTCAGTGCCTTTTAGTTAATGATGACGAAAAGGGGGTATGGACTAAGATTCAAGATGATGATTATTGACAGGTTTTCTGCAGATTAGTTGAGCAACCTCTCCATAGGTATTGGACAGTTTAAGTGACTAGTTTGATGAGCTAATATTACCAGTTCCGAACTCGGGATCAGTTGCATTGAGAATGCTTATTCTCGAAGTATATTTTGAATAAAGCCAAAGAAACTATCTTTTAATTGTTAAACTTTCAATAGCATGAAGACCTACATCGTTTGAAGTTACTGTGCATTTTTGTTCTATATTATAAGCATTTTTTAAAATTTCTTGAACTCCATTAATGTAGACTCCTTAAAAGTGCAAATTTGAAATGTTCTCAACGTGAAAATGGAAAGGTTAAAATATCAGAGTGTACATTAAATTGTTTTAAGAATGATTGTTAATTGTCTTGTAAACTATGTCAGTTCTATCATTACTGTTCTTTTAATAGTGCCCTTGCTTTTTCTAAGGGAGTTGGTATACCTGTTGTGTTGGTTGAAAACAGTGGAAGATGCAATAAGAATGAAGGTGATGAAAAGGTCTGCCATTTGCAGTCATGTTGCTGCTAGCTGTTATCTTTTAGCATACTTAATGCCATTGTTGTCATTCGAGGGGTGCTAGTGATACTCTTTCTGACACTCTCCTTACAGTTGGGCAATGTGGCACATAAATTTCTATGATTGGTCATAATTGAATTTTAAATATGTCAACTTTTAACTTCTACCACTAGTCACTAACCACATGAAATTTATGTGACCCATGTGCAAATTATTAGGAGAGTGTCCCTGCTAGTTGTCACTTTTGGCATTGTTATTACAATAGTTTTTGACAACAGATCCTTCCAAATGGAGTTGCTTGGATTCCAAATTTAGTTAGCACCATTACAGAAGTTGTGTTGAATGGAAGCAAGGCTATCCATGTTAACAAGAAGATGGTTGAAGGACCAAACCCCAATGAGAAAGGAAAGATCTTAATTCCTTTAATCGCACTACTTCAAGTAAGCTCATAAACTTTTCAAGCTTACCATGTACTTTAATCTCAAATTGGAGTGATTCATGTAGACTTACTTTTATTCTGTTCTTGTCATGTCTGCAGTATCCATTCATTGTAAAACTAATGGTACCAGCAATCAAGAAAGACGTTAAGAATGAGAGCAGACTTTCATTGGTTGAGGGGTTCTAGTGTTGAGTGGAAGGACACTGCAGCTGAGAGGAAGAGTGCTTCTTCTCAGCAGAGGAAAGCTGGTGCTGCTGGTCGAAAGAAACAATTTGGCTATGGAACTTGATCTTGGATGAAACTTAACAGTTTAATATGCAGTTTTTACACATAAATCACCTATGTATCCCGTTCTTCTATTGGCAACGACAGCCTCAGTTAAGATTATGCGATAATAATATCCGACGGATGGCTGACTGTTGGGACTAGAGAGAGTTATGTTTTGTATTCTGAGATGAAACTTGAAGTTGGTTTTAGACTTGATTTTTGCTAGTTACATTTCTGTGTATTGCATGTCCTTTTATCAGGTAAATTTGTCAATATTTTTAGCTGAATCTCGGCTGCTGCTGGTATAAGTGGCTGCTAATCAAAATAATATTGAAGAAGGATAATAACGAAAATCGTTTCT